TTGCCCCAGGAATACAGAGCTGCAGGGACTCTGAGTACTGCTGGTGAGAAGGTACTAAGGTCACATACAACCTGGGCTCCAGGTGTCCTATGGCCGTGTATAGACTCCAAGGAAAACTACACACAGATCCATAGGGGAGACTCATCAGAGCAATGTTGACCTTCAATTTCTCATTTGTATCATAAAAGTTGTTTGTTTGTTTGTTTGCATTTGTCCCACGAGCTTGAAGCCTCCTTGCTCAGCTTTAGTATGAGAGTGTCCTCTCTCCGACCCCAGGGCTGAGAAGGAGGCCAAGAACCAGTCACCTCCTTGGGGAGAAAACTCAGTGGGGAGAAAACAAGAGCAAATGGAGAAGATGACAACTGGGAGAGATGACTCAATTGGTCCCTGTTACCGTCATCCAAGACACAGCCTCAGGGCTAGAACACAGAACAGAGGGCGGGGGTTTCACCCTCTACTCTAGAAAAACAAATACACAGGTGCTTCCTACTCCCAGCATGTGTCTGGTACCCTCTGGGTGGCCAGCCCGTCTTGGACAGAGAGCCACCCTGTAGTTGGTGAGCCTGACCAGCCCACCAGTGTTCTATGGAGACAGCCGGGAGGAGGTGGGATGCAGCAGAAGCTGGTGGTCCCCTAGGTGTCACCTCTTCCCAATCTCAAGCACAGCCCTGGAGTTGAGGGAAGACGCACCTTCCCCTCCGGGAGTGTGAGGATGTCACTGTGAAGGTGCCAGCACCTTCCTGTCGGAACTCAGTTTGGAAGGCTGAGGGGTACTAAGCATACATAGGCATTACTTTGGATCATACGCATCATCCAAAGGAATGGGTTGCCTACATTAGTAAAATTCAGAGACACAATGTAGAATGCTGATCACCAGGCTCTGGCAGGAGCAGGGGAATGTGTTATTCTTTAAGGGATATAGTTTCAGTTTATAAGATGAGCCTTAGAGATGATGGTGGCAATGGTTGCACAACCGCATGAATGCACTTAATGCCAAGAACCTTACAGGTTAAAATAGTTAAGATGGTCCATTTTAATTGTATTTACCACAATTAAAGAAATGGAGAGAAAACGAGCAAATGCAGAAGGGCTAACCCCAGGCAGAGTGGCCGGCGTGTCTCGGGACCGGCGGAGGTGCAGAAATGAGGGAATGCAAATGTTCTGATACTTACCTCTCAGCAGACTTCGATTTCCATCTTAGCTGTTGGAGGTCATGACCAGAGTCAGCCATGGACCTGTAGAATGGTTGACGTTACAGAGTATGTCCCTTGTTACAACTGCATTTATATTCGGGCCATGTGGACTGCCCAGCACCCAAATGATTGGTTCCCCATCCTTATAAGCTCATGTCAGGAAAAGCTGAGGACCTGCCATAGTGAGATGTGGGCTTTACATCTCTTCCCAGGTGCCCGTCGGCTGGCCCAAGACTAACCCAGATCCTGCTCAGACTCCAGACCGATGAGCTATCACCATCAGGGCTGAGACTTCATCTGGATGCCCGGCCACCACAGTTGTCTGTAGTGAGCTGGTTTGAAGTGTCAGTAGCTTCAGGGACACTAAGGCACACAGGGCCAGAACCTGACTTTTTTCAAACTATAGAGTGTGGCACCTGCTTTTCTACGTGTGACTTTCAGAAGTTGGATTTGGAGGTTGAATCAGTGCAGTGTAAAGAAAGCAACTTTTCTTGAAGGGAGAGGGTCAGGCCAGATTTGCATGTGTCTTTTTTTTCTTTTTAATATCTGAAGCTGAGGATGTTTTTCCATTTATTTTCATATAGAGTGTGAGGGAACGAGAGGAACATCCATGTGACAGACACACACTGATGAGCTCCCTCCCGCATGACCAGAACAGGGCTGGGGACTGAGCCACAACAGAGGTACATGCCCTTGACCAGAATCAAACCCAAGACTCTGGTCCATGGGTATTAACCGCTGAGCCAAACTGGCCAGGACATGTTTTTTTAAACAACTCTAAGCCATGCCAATATTCTATGAAAAAGTGGGGGAAAGCCAGTGTTCCCAGATTGGGTTGGAGAAAAGAGAGCAATAAAATAAAGTCTGGCTTACAACCTTGGTTTCCTCAGCAGTGAATCTCGGCTGGGTGCTGTCTGTCCGCAGGGTCGGTGCTGAGGGTGATTTGATGCAAACCCATCCTTGGACTTCGTAGTTTGCACGAAACACCAAAAATGTGCAAGGAGCTCTCCAGCGCTGGAAACTCGTATTTGATGTGCGGTGTCACTGTGATGGCTCCAAGCTCAGTGACATCAGAGGGTGGTGGAGCCACACCAGCTTTCTGAACCTGAGGCCAGCCCAACCCCCATTATTGCCCTCAGCTGCTTTACTATGACTTCCCCTTTCTTGCTCTAACACACCCAGCCCTTTGCTGCTCCGGCCTGAGACTGGTTGTCCACACTGAATGGTGCGTGGGATGTACCAGGCCTCACAGGGTGTGTGTGTTTGTCTCCTCATCACAGGTGGGACTGTCCCCCGGCCCTTTAAAGGGGGTTTTCTGAGCTGTGTCTATGTGGCTGTCCCTCTGAGTCTGTGTAACAGAGACAGTTAGTGTCTGTCTGACCTGAGAAAGCTGCCAGCCTCTCACCATGTCTCTGAAGGTTGAGCAGTTTCCTGATGCAAATCCTGGAGCTGCCTCTGGTCCTGACTGTTTGTTTTTTTGTTTGTGAAACCTGAGTCTGGGTGTTTTGAATCCCAACAGTCTTTGGCATCATGTGAAGTTGTTTTTTTGGGTATGTAGTATATTGGCTATTTCCTCAAGATAAACCCGGTTCCCAGCCATAGTATATTTTCCTAACACCTCCGACCGAGAAAATGATGGGAAGGAAGGAAGAACTGGCTGCTCAATTTATTGTCTCTCCCAGCTTTGCCCTAAATCCCCACTTGCTGAGGAAGGGTTTATGCACTTACATTGGACTAATCAAAGCAGCATCTGGCTGTTCATGTTGTTGATTCTGTTGTTAATCCACACCCAAAGATCATTTTTTCTATTGATTTTTAGAAAAGGGGTGTGGTGGAAGAGAGGGGGAAACAATGATGTGAGAGAAACACATCGATTGATTGCCTCCCACACCCGCCCTGGGGCAGAGATTGACCCACCATATTGCACAACCCAACCAGGGCCGGGAATGGAATTGCAACCGAGGTATGTGCCCTTAACCAGAATCAAAACTGTGACTCTTCGGTCCATGAGCCGACGCTCCAATGCTCAGCCAAACCTGTCAGGGCTATTTAAATTCTTTAATTGAATTTCTTCATCTCTATAATGAGCATAATAATTGTATCTACTTCATAGGTTTGTTGAGAGAATTAAATGAACATGTATAGACCACAGTAGAGCTCGGTAGAGGTGAGCCCCCTCCTGTGCTCTATTCCCTCCTCTCCTGAAAGACTAACACTGTCAGCATTTCAGATGTGCACATCAGTCTTCATCCCAGGGGAAGGAGAAACCTAATCTCACAGGTCCTCAGACTTTCACTTGCCGTAGAATTACCTTGAGTACTTTCAGATGCAAATTCCCACGTCCCAGATCCCAACCCACTGAATCCTAATGTTTGCAAAGGATGCTGGGAACCTGCATTATATCACGTGCCCCAGACGATTCAGATGCAGATAGTTCACCAGCCACAGAACCATCGCCTTGTGTGTTCTTCACAAGACATGCCCATCAGCTGTGTTTCTCTTTCCTATGAACATGAACCCTGGCATGAATTTCCTCTCCTCTTTGCCAGGAAGAGTGGTCCCCTCTGTCTTTTTTTTTATTATTATACAAACCCAAGGACATTTTCCGATATTTTGTTTAGATAGAGTGTGAGGGAGAGAGAGAGAGAGAGAAACATCGACATAAAAGGGACACATCGAGTGGTTGCCACCCACACAACCCAACCAGGGTTGGGGACAAACTGCAATGGAGGTACGAGCCCTGAGTGGGAACCGATCCCGGGTCGCTTTGTACCACAGGCCGATGCTCTAACCACTGAGACAAACCGGCCTGGGCTCCTCTGTGCATTTTTCCCCCTACTAGATTGTGAACTCATTAGGCGTTAGGTATTATCCCCATTCACAGTGCAAAGGAAATGGCCCAAACATAGAAGATGCTTAGTTGCTTGTTGAATAAATAAATGACCAAAAATTTAACCACTCCGCACCTCGCCAAAAGCCCTATATGCTATAAATTTAGTTTCACAAAAATCCCCCGGAGGTAAACCCATGGAGACAGACAGAGATCAGGGACTGTCGGGCTGAGCAGCGGGGAGGAGGAATGACTGATACCAGGTCCTGGGTCTGTGTGGATGATGATGCTCTGGAACTAGAGACTGGTTGTGATGTGACTGATAGTCGCTAAATGTTGTGAATGCGCTTAGTGCTGCTGGAACGTACACTTGGAAGGATCATACAGTTTCCTTTGATTTTATTTAAATTAAATTTATTTTCATAGCATTTTATTACATTTTATTTAAAATATATTTTATTTTTAACTAAATAATATGAGAAAAATAGAGTCTAATATAAATCTGGGACTTTTTTCCCCTGTGAGGCTGGAGTTTCTTGGAAACCACAAGTAGGTGGTTCAGGGGCACTTGGCCAGTTGGCAGCTGGGCCCTGGGCGGGGTTGAGTGGCCTCCGTGTTCTGCTCAGAACGCGCCCAGCGGGAGGCTGGCTCTTGGCCTCTGGCCGCTCAGCTCTGAGACTGGGCACACACCAAAGCTGGCCCTCGGGGGAGGTGACTCCTGGCATCCAGGAAGGACAGGGGTCAAAGGCAAGAACTCCTCTCACTGGGGTATCGGGATCCTGAGGACAAAACACACCGTCCAGGAGTCTCCTGCTCAACACTGCCTGCCTGACCTCCCACCCGTGGAAGTGTTCTCGTTAATAACAGAGCAGTTGGGGGCTCCCAGTGGGGGTCACCCCATTAGTTTCCAGGTTGTGAGCACATTTGCACTTATGATGGCTTCTCTTTGTGTTTCTAGAGTCTGTCTCTACAGTAAACTAAATTGTTAACAGAAGAGCAGCTGGGCCCTCCTGGGCTCGGCCACGGCAGGGCGAGAAGGTGGACTTGGGATTTCAGAAGAGGCGGATGGGGAAGTGCTGGACGTGGGAGGACCACTGGGCGTCCAGCTGGAGGGACTGCACGTCCTTCCACTCCACGCCATCGATACGGACGTGCTGCACGTTCTGCTGGTGCTGGGCCGTGCAGACCAGGCGGCTGATGCCCTCGATGCACTGGCTTTGGGCCTCCACATCCTCCTCCTCAGTGTCCTGGTCCTTGGTGATGACAGTCATGACCATGCTGGGCATAGCTCTGGCCTCACCCCTGCTGGGCAGCCTGCTGACCTGGAGAGACTGGAAGGTGTCCTTGAGCATATTGGTGGCAGTAGGCAGGTCTCTGTCCTCCGCATCTCTCTCCTTGTCTGTGGGCTGAGCTGCCGTCCAGTAATCCACCTGCAGCTCCATCGGCTCGGTGCAGATGCCCTGGGTGGGGGAGGAATTCCCACTCACGGACGGGGAGGAGGACGGGCTGTGAGAGGCCTCCTTGGCGGCTGGAGATGTGGACGGCAGGGTGGACGAAAGCACACTGGAGCACGAGGGGGCCGCATCACCTGAGTCTCCTGAGGTGGCCAAGGACGGTTCCACTGTTTCCACCTTCACCAGCCCCAGGAAGGGAATGAACCTCTGTGAGGACTGCTCATCGGGGCTCTTTGGCTTGCAGGTGAGCTTGGCTTGAGCGATGGGCAGCTGGTGGACACAGCTGGCCCCCACGAGGTAGCGGGTGACTGCGAACGCGATGTCCTGCTTGTCCAGCTCGGTGCTCTGGGCCTCCAGCTTGGTGAACAGGTCCCGCCAGGCCCGATCCGGGAAGAAGTTGTTGTCGTGGTAATCCACGGAGCACAGGTACCGGGGCACGGGGTGGGACCCCAGCGGGAGGACCTGGAAGCACAGGTAGGCCTGCAGCTCGGGCATCTTGGGGAACAGCTGCTCCACGCAGAGCCGCAGCACGGCGCTCAGGTAGTGCTGTGCCCCCACCACCGCGATCTTCATGGGAACTCGAGGCCGGGCATGGTGTTGGCTGTATCTCTCCATCTGCGACACGATGGTGCTGAAGGCCGCCTGGAGGTCAGCCTCAGAGCAGGTGCCCACCACTGGCAGATTTTGCTGCTGCAGGACGTCCCACAGGAACTGCCCCTGCCAGTCGGAGGTGTTGATGACGATGACATGGTCAGGCAGCTGGTCGTAGGGGTAGAGAATGGCCCTTAGCTGATCATGAACAGTTTTCTTGGGGACCTTCAGCTGGCTCTGTGGGTCTGGGCAGTCTTGTTGTTCTGGCTGTTGGACAGCTCATCCAGTGGCCCCGCCTGCTGATCCCCATGAGGGACATGCTCTGGCCTCCATGGTTGGCCTGCTTCCCTCGAGCTGGGTGGAGGGACTCATGAGAGACTCTGGCTTTCTGAGAAGCCTGCTGGCCTGCAGCGTCTTTGTGAACTTGTCCTCCATGGAGGTCTCGGCCTCCGGGCTGTCCTCCGGCTGTGCAGGCTGCTCCTCAGGGGAGGCCGTGCTGTGGGAAACTGAGTTGGCAAAACTGTCATCCAGCTGCTGGCCTCCCGGGGCCCACATCTCTGGAGCGTTGGTGGGACTAAGAGGCTCCATGTGGCTCTGGGCACTTTGGATGCTGTCGGTCTCCGTCTCCAAGGAGGACTGTGACAGGTATTCTATATATGGCTCGAGGTTGGTCTCAGGGGTGCTTGAGACGGTGTCATCACTCCACAAGTCAGGGCCACTAGGGGTGGGCGTGCTGTGAGCAACTGGCTGTGAGATGCTGTCGCTCGGCTGCTGGCCTCCCGAGGACCACATCTTTGCTGGCACACTGGCTGGACTCGGAGGCTCCTTCAGGCTCCAGGCACTTTGGAAGCTCCCGGACTCTGTGTGCAGGCTGGTTTGTGACAGGCTTTCTATTTCTGGACCTGGGACTTGGGGGTGCTCAAGGTGCCGTCATCATCCTCCGTTTCGGGGCCACTATCGCTGGAATACTCCAGGGTGATGTTGATCAGGTTCAGGTCTTCCTCCATCCTGGGGCCATGCTCCCCAGTGTCCTGCTCAGAATCCAGGACCTCCTGGACACTGTGAGCCTGGGCAGCAGCCCCACATCATTTGGCCAGAAGCTTTGATGTTTTATCATAGATGTAGTCTCTACTGATGACTGCCACTGCTTGTTGGGTTTCCCCGAGTCCATGTCATCCTTTTCCAGGTCTTGCCCACATGAGGTGTTTTTCCTGTCCTCCTGCCCAGAGTGGAAGCTCTCCTTCTCCTCCTCGTACATATCTGTGGCCTTGGAGATGGGGTCAGCCTGCATGGCACAGTCCTCATGCTCGATGGGCTGGCTGGTCAGGGAGAAGATCCAGATCTCGGCCACCTTGGGGTTGGCATCCTTGGGGCTGCTGCAGAGGCTCAACACCTGGTCTCCCTCGAGGGTTGCTGCATCACCTCGGCCATGTTGATGGTGCCTGTGGCCAGTGTTTTGTAGGCATCCATTTTGCAGTTCAAGAGGGTCCGCATCTTTGAGCGCTTTCTGCGCTGCAATATGATCTCCAGCTTGTTGCCTTCTCCCTTTAGGATGTGGGGATATCGCAGGGAGAAGGTCAACGTCAGGTCATTCTCCCCGTGTCCACTTGGGGGCAGCATGATCTTCTGGGACCTGAGAATGTGCTTGGATCCCTGCATCCTGATGGCTATAACTGCCGATTGCAGCTCACGCCCAAGGTCCCCGCAGACCACCAGCTTCTTCACAGTGAGGCTGCACAACCTGGGCACGCTGGTGGGGCAGGAGACGTCCACCTCCCAGTCAGGGAACTGATCCACAGACACCGGCCTGTTGAGTGCTGCTGGTGCACCGGCCTGGCTTCCGGTTGTTGACGAAGATGCAGACGCCTGCACCATGTTGGTTTTCCTTCTGTTCAGGGTGAATGATCTCTCTCCCTGGGGTGGGACAGAGGAGGGACATGCCGTCAGAGGCAGCTCATGAAGTGCCAGGTGGGATGGTCACTGCAGCTAAGACTGAACCCACAAGCACTCAGTGATGATGGCAAGAGGTGGGACACAGGTGACCACAGGAAAGAAAAGGTTCTTAGTGAAATAGACCCAGAGACATGGAAGTAGGGTATAGACTGAGAGAACGCAGAAGAGGGAGTTGGGGGAGGGAAAAGATAAAACACAGAACTTACATGCTATATGGCTAAACATGGACATAGACACCCATGCTGGGGATGAAGTGTGTGAGGGGACTCGGGAGCAGGGAGTCAGGGGAGGTAAGGAGAAACATCTATAACAAAAATTAATCAATTGAAAATGAAGAAACAAAACAAAAGGTTTATGGCAGGAAATGTAGAATTGAAGTGGGGAGAGAGGAAACACTTCAGTATCTCAGGTCACTATTTTGGCAGAGGGTGGACAGCACCCCCTGTATTAAACTATCACACCTGGGTGTCTGACTAAACACCCCATTCTATGATGAGAACGCAGAGATTTTCCTGGGGTGGAGGGTCAGGATATTAGGACTGTGGGATGTTCAGAGCAGCACCACTGAAATGGTAACGAGAGGGAATCAAGTCCGGATCTAGTTGCAGTGAAGACAGTGGATCGTCATGGTAACCAGTCCTCCTCTGCTGTGTTTTGCAGCCCATGGGCCCCCAGTTCCTTAC